ACATACAAAGGCCCTGGGTTATGACAGGAAACAATTTTACATTGTTCTGGGGAAGAGAGAGGAGAGTAGGAGACAACATGGAAGGAGGCAGATGCCAAATATGTCAGGGCTTTGAAGGTAATCAGGGTGTGTGTGTGGAATTTTATGCTGAGTGCAACAAGACACCAATGAAGGGCTGTACTCAGAAAACGAGATGATGCTTGGATTTGGCTCATGAAAAATGAATAAAGGGGAGGGCAAAAGTCGACACACAGAGTGATGTAGGTGCTGTTGCATAGTCCATGCAGTAGCTAGGGTTAGGGGGGTGGCAGTGGTAAAAAAAGAGGCACAGACTTGGGATATATATTTGGAAATAGAGCTCATGGGATTTGCCAGTCAATTGAACGTGGAGGTTGAGGAAACGGAAGGATTCAGAAATGACTCCTCAGTTTCTCGCTAGAGCAACTGACAGATGAGTCAACAGGCTCAGTCAGAGAGGCAAGGGACTTGTCCACGATCACATCACTGGCAAGTGGCAAAGGCGAGATTCTGTCTGCCTCCCAACACCAGGTTCTGGGCTGTCTAATTCCAGGGGTCAAGCTCTTAAGCTGGCTTGTTTTCCAATCTCACTGCCTGCCCAAAGGTACACAGCTGGAAGCAAGGGCCAGTGAAATTTATATGCTGATTTTTTTTTTTTTTAAAAAAGAAGGGTAATGAGAAAAGAGACTTTCACTTTATAATAATTAAAAGAGTGTGGTGCTGACACATATTTCCCAATATCTAGCTGTTCTAGAGCAATCTTGCCTTTGAGGCAGGCATTCCCTGGAGGAGGAGGCACAGACACGAGCTGACAGCCCAGGAGCTGGGTGGTCCCAGAGGAGGTTCAGGTGCACACCAAGCCAGCGCCACCTCACAGCAGGGCTACAGCACACAGTCTTGCTCAGTCCAACCCATCCCATCACCAACAGAAGCCAGAGGCAGCTCTGGAACCCTAGGCCTCAGCAGGTCAGCAGCAGCCAAAAGACCTCCCCAAGAGGCCCTTGTAGTTCAGCCTCTGCAATCCCAGATGAGAGCTCCCGGGACCACCTCGGCCCTAGACACCAAACTCTGGATGAACTCAGCCATTCCACAAGAACACCTACTCTGTACGTGCCAGCCTGTATAGAGCTACGCTCATGATTTTTCAGATTTCTAGACACCAGGGGCACCCCTACTCTCAAAGCTTAAAACAGACACTTTGGCTCAGGATCAGAAAATGACATCACTTCATTCATTGGAAAGAGTGACGTATGCAAGTTCCGTAGGGACGGGAACTCAGGTGCAATGCCTAGAATAGTACCTGGCACACAATAGGCGGTAAATACACTTACCGAGGGAGTGCATGACCGGACCAGGAGGGAAAAACAGGATAGGCCCTCGGCTCTGTACCTTGCCACATCTCATCCTTTTCTCCCTCTGGGCAGGTCAGTTCGCTCCGCATTGTGGGTGTCTGCAGATGTGTGTGCCCCACTACCCTATAAGCTCCCCAGGGCAGACTGAAATTTGCTCATAATTAATCCCCTGTGATAGTGAATCGGGGTATAAGCCAAGTTATCCATGGGTATGGAATAAATAGATTTGAAGGAAAGAGGGGAGTGAGGAAACAAAGGACAGAGGGAGGAAGAGAGAGAGAAAGAAGGAATTGGGGGGGGGGGGGGGCGGTTAGGAGAATGAGGAGGGGAAGGGGAGATTGAGAGAGAGCTCAATTCAATTATACAACTGTACACGGTAGCCCCAGGCTGAGCTATTCTGGGTAAGATGCCAGATGACAAAATCATGTAGGAAGATAAGCCTGGCTTTGGAGTCACAAGGATGTGAGTTTGAACCCCACCCCAGCTATCAGCTAGCTGTGTGACACCAGCAGGTCACTCAACATCTCTGAGCATCCGTCTGCTTAGCCATAAAATGGGGATCCTAGTATCTTCCCACCCCCACCCCAGGTGTAGGATTAAACAGGA